AGAATACAGTACTCAGCCTTTCCTGAACCATTCATTGCAAGTGCTCAACAGTTATTATTTAGTTTACTCCTTTGTGAGTGTTTCTGTACTGTGGTAATAAACAGTTTAGATTTAATGACTTTTTATTATCAAATATTCCAAGCACCAGCCAGTCATCAAAAAACATAGTAAACATTACCACAGTGGACCTCTTCTGCATTAGCACTTCACTTTATTCACCTCAGTGTTTTAAGAGATGAAACAGATACAGGTGTAATTATACAATTACTCAGTCCCATTCCCCTCACACCCTCTACCTCGCCTCATCCTTGCAGACTGCCACTGTTCCAGAAGTAAGGTTACCATTCCCGCTGGACATCTCTATTCACTTACAACATGCTGGGTACTCTTCCCAAAACACGGCATTATTTTGCAGGCCACAGAAGTAGCTTCGTGGTGCTTATCCCTTCTTCGGTGTGCTTTTTACTTGAGATACAGTATTTCTAAGCTTTAACCGAATAGAGGCGGTCCTGTCTGTCTCAGTGTGCCAGTATAAATACGCCACAATTTACCCATTCCATTGATAAAAATGAAAGGCCATCAATTTTGTGTAGTAAAGAACATCCTTGTGCGCATATAGGAGAGCTTCTCTAAGGAGCAAAACTTCCAAGTCATGGCATATGTACATCTTCAACTTGACTAGAAAGCCCCCCACTGTTCACCTACTAGTCAACTGTTCCAATACTCTCAGCAGCTAACAAAACAGTCTCATCACCAAACATCCTCACTAACAGTTGGTAATGTCAGACTTTTTCATTTTTCCTAATCTAAATAGGCTTATTTTAATTTACGTCTTCTGATTATAACTGAGATTAAGCATCTTTTCAGGTTTATTGGCCATTTTTGTTTCCTTTTACTCTGACCTGTTTATGTTTCTGTCCTTTTTCTACTAGATAATATACCTTTTTTATGATTATTCATCTATAAGTTTTTTAAATAGTTAAGATGATGCCAGATGTGAAGGTGCACACCTATAATCCCAGAACTCTGGGAGGCTGAAGAAGGAAGACTGCAAGTCCAGCCTGGGCAATTTAGCAACTTAACAAGACCATTTCTCAAAATAAATACAAAAAAGGGCTGGAGATGTAGCTCAGCACAAAGGCCCTGGGTTCAATCCTCAATACCACAAAAAAAGAAAAAAAAATCAAGATGCTTGTCGTTTGTTAGTGATATACACTGCAAATATGCTTTTCAAGTTTGCCTGGTTTGTCAATCTTTTACTTTAGGGTTTGTGTTTAGTATTTTAAGACATTCTTCCTTGTACCAGTATCATAAAGATAGCCTCTTGTATTTCCTTTTTTTTGGTACCAGGGATCAAACTCGGGACCTTGCACTTGCGAGGCAGGCATGGGAACCACTGAGCTAAATCCCCGGCCTTGTATTTCCTTTTAGTAATTGTGCCTTATGCATTCAGGTCGTGGAGCCACCTGAAATTGATTTCGGTGAATGGCATAAGGCCACATCTCATTTTATCTTTTTGCCATTTGGATTATCAAGTGCTCCAATCCAGTTTCCTGGTTGGCTCATCCTCTCCCCATGAATCTGTAAGGCCATCTTGGCCATTCAGTAAATTCTTGTATATGGATAGGTGTGTCAATAGACTCTATTATCTTCCATTGTTTTTTGTATCTGTGCCTCTCCCGTAAGGTTTAGTGTTATAATCATAATAATCCCCCACACTTAAAAAGCACAGTACAGGGGCCAGGGATTTAGCTCAGTGGTTCCGCTACCTGTCCCTGCAAGCTCAAGGACCCGAGTTCAATCCCCAGTACCAAAAAAAAAAAAAAAAAAAAAGCACAGTACAATTTACAAAACACTTTCAAATCCATTATCCAACTCAAACTTCAAAACACTCCTGTGATTTAGGTGTTATTACTCACATTTATTCGAATGCAGACACTGAGGCTCATAAAGTTAAATGAATTATCCATGATTGCAAGACAGTAAGAGAAAGAGCATGGAGCCCAACCCACACCTTCAGTTGCTACTCTTAGCGCCAGATTGTCAGGTAAGGACAAGAACAGTATCTCTCAAATGGCTCCCAAACAAAGCTATGAACTTTGTCCACATACAACTCAAACAAGCAAAAACCTCCAGAAATGAAAAAATGCTCTAACCATACATTACATTTTGCCTGGAACATAAACTCTACGGGGAAAAAAACCCTGCCCCAACTGCCTCTTTGCTACTGGGCACCTCAAGTTCAGACAGAGTCAGCACTTGCAGCTGGGCCATGTTGTCCTCCTATAGGACATAAACTATCTCACAGAACATCAATCTCAGATGAGATGATTCTGAAACCCTGACAAAAGTCTGCTGAGTCCATTTTGTAATTCTGTGTACACAGAGACATACCCATGTCAAATGCTCTGTCACCCACACGTACCAAACTCTCTCTCTCTCTCAGCCAAACTACAATTTCTCTGCCAGTTAGTTTGATTGCCCTGCTGGTCTCTCCTCTTTACAATTAAGATTATTAAAATGGGGGCATGGCAGTGCACTCCTGTAATCTTGGTATTCTGGGAGGCTGAGGCAGGAAGATCATAACTTCAAGACCAGCCTGGGCAACTCAGCAATTTAGTGAGACACTGTCTCAGAATTTAAAAAAAAAAAAATTAAAAAGGGTTGACATACTTGTAGCTCAGTGCAAAGACCCTAAATTCAATCCCCAGTACCACCCCCCCCCAAAAAATTATCAAATAGCCAATAGCAGAATTCCCACTTTCTGACTGCATCTATAGTGAACACCCACTTCCTTAAAACCTCCCCGAATCACCAACACCCAAATCTTATAATCCATTCTAGGACCCTCTTACTGAGACACCCCACTGTGTCCCAAGCAGTGTGCTCTCCTAGCTGCAGAGAAAAATGCTACACCCAACTTGTTTAACTATAGCTGCCTTCCTGCTATCTGCTGGTTGTAGCACATTAGCATGGTATGAGTCAGACATTGCAAATATCAGTATCTAAAAGTCTATGCCTTTCTCTTTCTAGAAAGTTCTTACTATCTGTAGGGCAAAAATACTTTTCATTTCTAGAAATCATATTTAAGTGAGGTTACAAGTTCCTTTAACTCCAGAGACCTGGTTCAACATCCAACTCCAGTTGCAGTAAATATGCACACTCACAAACAAATCTGTTTTTATATGGTAATATCTTTCCTTCTAGATAGTGTGCCCTGGGTAGCTTGGGTCTGTGACTCATCTTTGTAAATCTGTGATATCGTACACACATTAGGAGTTCTTCTGTGAATGGTACTGATATGGTGTTCTTAAACTAATGGTGGTTGATATGAATGCCTCTGAATCACAGATGACTACTTCAGAAAAATTAAACCTCATCTGGGACAAAAAGATTTATTTTTTGCAAAAATCTTAAATCTGTCTCCAAAAGAAAATTTCCTTTTTTTCTCCTTTAGATTTTTTTCACCTTTAGATTTTTTTCACTGTTACATATTTCAAACATATAGTTCCATATTTCTAAATACACCAATATGATTAACACATATGTTCATATTTCTTAACTAAGAGATTTAGGATTTTCAAGAAAAATATAAATACAATGCATTTTTCATTTGCCCAATGAATTTCCATTTCCTTCCATCATCACTCATTCCCCTGAAAACATCTTTTCTGTTTGTGGCTCCAAAGATATGCTAGAATATTCTATCCTTATTCCATGATACACATTTAAGAGAGGGCAGAGCCAGCTTAGCAAAAACTTAAGAGACTTTGATCTTCATTCACAAAAGATTTTGTTTGTTTGTCTGTCTTTCTATTTTAGTAAAGCACCCTGGAGTAGAGTAGGAGAGGGCACAGAACACTTACTCATCCTTTGATGCAAAAGTGTAATTCAGGTTGGTTTAACGCATTACATGACATACTGTGCAATGCCATATCAACATAAAGGCATTCTGGCCATTTTGGGGGGAGAGAGGCAGTACTGGGGAACCAGGGCCCTCACAATGAACTACATTCCCACCCCTTTTTCTAATTTTTTATATTAAGACAGAATCTTGCAAAGTTGCCCTGGCTGAGCTAAAACTTGCCATTCTCCTGCCTCAGCCTACCCCAGAGTTCTTGGATTACAGGCCAGCAGTCTTCATCTTTCAAGAGGAAAACAGGTTTCTATTCCAGAAAACAAAGATTACATTAATTTCAACAAATTCAAGTAATGCCAGCCAAATTGACAGAATCCAATGCCTGATTCAGAGGGTGTGAGAATTCACGGGAGTGAACGATTTTCCAAAGTACTACAGATGATGTCAAGGAGACCAGGGAGTAAAGACGACTGTAGAAAGAACATTCCAGACTGAAAACTGCAGTTCCTCGGAATGGAATTCGGGATGATTTGAACAGACACAGGTTCACAGGTCCTGAATCTCCACTATTAAGGGGCTTTCCTTGCTCACATTAAGGGGCCAGTGAGATCAAACATAATGCTTCAAGTGACTTAAGATGAATTTTAAATTCTCAATGCAACTCCGCAAACCTGATCTCACAGCCTTCAAAATGGGGGGCGGGGGGGGGCGTTCTTGAGATCTTGTAAATTTTAAAATATTAATAAGAATGGTCACCATCATAGAACGGCTGGGAAGGTGTGTGTGAGCCCGAGAAGCCCACTGGATCTCTGGACTCTAGCGGCCACTGTCACACCGCGGCTCAGACCACGGAGCTCATCCCACCCCGCGAGGGGCTCCCCGGCCGGGCTCGGGCTCCCCTCCAGGGCCAGACTGCGAACAAAAGGAGGCGCGGGGCAGTTTTGAAGGCCGCGAGGGACTAGCCGGGCACCCAGAACACCTGCGGCGCTCGGGGATCGGTCGGGGGGACCAGCGGCCGGCGACCCGTGAACACGGTGGCGCAGTGCAGGCGCCCGGCGCGCACTCGGGCAAAGGGGTAGCGGTCCTGGCGGGCAACGGAGCCACAGTCCCCGCGCTTCCCGCCGTAAGTCCCGGCCTTTACCTGCACGTCGCTCAGCTCCACGCGCAGATACAGCTCGCGGTGCCGCTGAGCCCAGTAGACGTGCGGCGTCAGCACCTGATTCTCCATGGTCACGGTGCCCAGGGAACGGGAGGCTCGGCTCTCAGCGCCTGGCTGCCCCAGATCGTGCACGGATGGAGCTGGGCAAACGCAGGCCGCAAACCCTAACGCTGCTCCGGAGCTCCCGCAGCCCCGCTATCTCCACACTCCTCAGGCTCGTCGGCCGCGCCTGCGCAATAGCGGGCGGGGGCGGGAGGCGAGCCGAGGCGTAGGCGGGGCCGGTGGCAGAGTGAGCCGGGAGTGGGCGGAACAAGAGTCGGGGCGGTGGAAAGGGGCGGGGCGGGGCACGGTGACGCCACAGCTCACCCGGGCCGCCTGGGAGTCTACGCTCCCGCGCTTTTTAGGGCGGTGTCTCAAGAGAAGATTAGTGTGAAAATATTCACAGACAGGGCAGCGTGGAAAGACATTGTGGGACTGGTGTGTGTGGGGGGGGGGGGGGAGTCCCTCCATTTTATCATTCGTTAATTTGCCTTTTATTGAGCGCCTCAGGTGAGCCTTGGTCCCAAAGCCAAGCCCTGGACACTTCCCCAAGGCTGGACTGAAACTTATCTTTCTGCCTCAGCCTTCCAGAGTACTGGAATTACAGGCGTGCGACACCGCACCAGACTCAAAGGACTCTTTTGAACACTTGGTATGTGACTAGGGAGACTGAGGAACTGAATTTTTAATGTAATAGTTAGATGGAGCTGGGAATGTAGCTCAGTGATACAGTGCTTGGCTAGCACGTGCAAGGTCCTGGGTTTGATCCCCAGCATCACACACACACACAAATAATAATAAACGCCGGGGATGTGACTCAGTGGCGCCGTGCCTTCCTGGCAAGTGCAAAGTCCTGAGTTCGATCCCCTGTACAATAATAATAATAATAATAATAATAATAATAATTGAATAGCTACGTCATGATTAGAGCCTATACTCTTGAACAGTATAAAGACACAAACAAGTTACTGTCTTATTTAACTGCCTCATCGGTGTCCACTTTTACCCTGAAGTTCTTCCACAGTAAAAAATTTAATGAGGGCCGAGGTTTAGCTCAGTGGTTCTGCCGCCTGCCTCGTAAGAGCAAGGCCCCGAGTTCGATCCCCGGTACCAAAAAAAAAAAAAAAAATTAATGCGAACCAACATTTCTGTGAAAACTCGAAATCTGGGACCAAAAAAACCATGGAATTCGGGGGCCAAGGATTTAGCTCAGTGGTGCCACCGCCTGCTTCTCAAGCGCAAGGTACTGAGTTCAATCCCCAGTACCAAAAAAAAAAAAAAAAAAGGAATTAGGGTCTTTTAACTTCCATTTACTTCTGAGCACAGGGCTATAGCGATGCAGAAATCATGCAAGCTCCCAGGAAACATTTAGTGAGTGAATCATATAAAATATAGAGGATGTATTGTTACATGAAAAGTGTTTTAAATAAAAATAGGATTTAACATGGTGGATGTGCTGAGCTCACAGAGATAGAAAGGTGGGAACCAGGGTCGGACACTGAAGAGCAGATCCTTGAGGGCTGGAGAGGACACGAAGTGTTTACAGCAGCAGTACTGCAGGTCTGACATGGGGACCTAGGCCCAGTTCCAAAGGTGAAGAGATGGGATGGTTCTGTGAGCCAGGAAATAAGGGCACAGGGCTGAGAGGTTGCCCTGAATAGAGAAAGCTGGATAAGCAGGGCATTGGGAAAGCCTTTGTTTGCTTCCTCCAGGGACACACAGGAGCCAGGGAAGTTTGTGAAAGTGGAGATTAGCAAAAGCAAACATGTTCTGGGGGAGATGGCCTGTGGGTGCAGAGGAGCTGGTAGCAGACAAGCCAGGTGCACAGGCTTACGCAACCTGCCAGATATGAGACTAGGAAAGCAGTAATCGTGTCAGCCTCAAATTTTTAAAAATAAGATGTTATTTGAAATGATAAAAGTATCTTTATTGCCCTACCTGTACTCAGATACATTACAGGGCACTTTTTTAAAAAATTAAAGTATAGGGCCAGGGATTTAGCTCAGCGGTTTCACCGCTTGCTGCACAAGTGCAAGGACCTGAGTTCGATCCCCACTACCAAAAAAAAAAAAAAAATTGAAGTATACTTATAGGAAATGGGCAAATCTTAAATGTTCAGTTTACGATGAGTTATTACATTCACTTCGGAATGTGTGGTTGTCACCCAAATCAGGATCCCAGAGATTAGCTCGTGTCAGTATATCTTTCCCTCACATCTCTCCTCTAATATTTGCTACCTGACCAGATCATCATAGAATGGGATTTGTCTATTCTTGAATTTCATATAAATGGAATCTACAGTATGCACACTTTTCTTTCTGGCTCCTTTCATTCAACATAATGTGTATGAGATTTATCTGTGTTGTGTTAGTAGTGCATTCTTTCCTATTCACTTTTGCTGTGTTGCAGTTAATTGTATGACTATTCCACAAATTCTTTATCCATTCCATTGATGGGCATTTGTTTTGTTTCCAGTTTTTCGTTATTATAAATAAAGCTGCTGGGCATGGTGGCACATGCTTAAAATCCTCGCACTCAGAAGGCTGAGGCAGGAGGATTGCCATGAGTTCAAGGCCAGTTTGAGCTGCATAGTGAGTTCAAGGCCAGCCTGAAGTGCTTAGTGAGACCCTGTCTCAAAAAACAAAAATTAATAAATAAAACTACTATGAACATTTGTATGCCTGTCTTTTATGGATATATGCTCTTAGTTCTCTGGGGTAAATACTTAGAACTGGAACTGTCATAGGGTAGGTGTGTGTTTTTAGCTTTAGTAGATACTGCTAAGCAGGTTTTTTTGTGGTTTTTTTGCTAAGAAGTTTTATGGACTATCTTCATCAGTTTCCACTGTTGAAATGTTTGAAAATTCTAAATGGCAGCGATGTTTGAAAATTCTAAATGTTCTATAGCTTTGATATTTCAGTCTTTTGAATTTCAGCTATTCTGAGGGATACAGAATGAAATAAAACATAATTTTAACCCAATATATCTGAAAACTGAGGCTTATCTGCTGTTATGGCTTGTGTCTAGACGTCCTCCCAAAGCCTCATGTGGTCATACGTGGGGCTTTTCACAGATGGCTGGATCTAGAGTGTGTGATCCTGGGATTAAGGGTTTGTGATTACTAAATTAGTCCATTAGTTGGTTTGATATAGTGCGGGGTGGATAATGAGAAGGCCCACCCTGGATGTGATTCCTACCTGCTCTAAGGATGTGCACCCTGGATAGACTATAAGGGACAGAAAGGGGCCTGCTGCTGTCACTTGCTGCTTGATGCTTGCTACTTTGCTGCTTTCCTGCCTTCTACCTGCCATGAAATATTTTTCCTCTGCAGTGCCCCTCTGCCATGCCACCCTGCCTTGGAGCCAGCCAACTATGAACTGAAACCTCTACAAACTGTGAGCTACAATAAACCTTTCCACCTTTAACTATGGGTGTCGGTATTTTTCTCAGAAATGAGAAAAATAAGATATCTGCTGACTTGTATGCAAGATGAAAGTTACTGATACACGAGAAGATTGAATCTTGGCATTTTGCCTCAGTTGCTCTGTGAGACAGGACCAGGGGGTGGTAGCTGTCCAACTGGATAAACTGCCACTTGTGAACTGTACTACAACTTCTCTGGGCCTGAGTTCCCAGATTCTTCAATTAGAGACTGTCACTCCCCTCTGATGTTCTTATCAGTTATTTTCAAGTTTTCCTGCAAAAAAAGTCCAGCCTCTCTTGAGGGGAACTCAAGAAGAAAAACAATTGAGACTGGGCTTGGTGGCGTGTGCATGTAACCCTGGGACATTGGGAGGCTGAGGCAGGAGGATTGCAAGCCCAACATGGGCAATTTAAAGGGAGTATGTCTCAAAATTAAAAATAAAAATGTTCAGGCCGGGGATTTAACTCAGTGGTTCTGCTGCCTGCCTTGCAAGCTCAAGGTCCCGAGTTCAATCCCCAGTACCAAAAAAACAAAACAAAAAATGTTCAGGCCAGGGTTTAGCTCAGTGGTGCTGCACCTGCCCTCACAAGTGCAGGGTCCTGAGTTTGATCCCCAATACCAAAAAATAATAATAATAAAAATAAAAAATGTTCAATCCCCTGTACCATAAATAAATAAATAATTTTAAAAAGCTGGGGTTGAAGCTCAGTGTGAAGGCCCTGGGTTTAATCCCTGGCTGGGTGGGGTGGGGGAACAGGTGAAAAGGCAGAGCCAAGTGGCAACACCAAGCGGAAGTATAGGGCTGAGGGTTTTGTGATGAGGCAACAGTAAGTTCTGTCTGTGTGCCCGAAGTGGACTCTGGATGCAGCCTTCCCAGGGCCATTCAGCCTGGAGCCACCTCGCCATCCTCTTCAATCAGCCATCACTACTGTAGGAAGCGTTTGCTGCTTTCTTGCCCTTGCTGAAGCCCATACCAATGCCCAAGCCTAATTTCCTGCCATTGGCCACCAATCATATACATCCTTGTTTCTTGGGGTTCTTTTTTTTTTTTTTTTTGGTACCAGGGATCGAACTCAGGTCCTTGCACTTGCGCAGCAGGCAGCCAAACCACTAAGCTAAATACCCGGCCCTCACAACCTTGTTTTTGACTTTATACAGAATCCTCTGTTCCTGGAAGAGGTTATGTTATTGTTGTTTAAATTAGCTGTTGAATCTGGCTATTTCACACCTCACCAATGCATGGACAACAAAGCCAGTTTTCTATAACAAAATCAGGCTCCTCTGTCTAGACAGCACAGAGGTGAAGGTGGGGAGAGAAATGAACTGGATCAGCACAGGCCTCTAGTGGGAAGCCTGCACAGTCCGATCATGTACCTATAGCCTCCTAACTGCGCTGGGAGCATGGATGTTGCTGCCACGCTTAACCAGAAAAACCTTCCTTCCGCCATTTGTCCAAGGTGCAGAGGAATGTTCAGAGATTTCCTGCCACAGGACCAGGCTCCTCCCATGAGAGCTGCCTTGTTTAGGAGGAGCAGGCTTTCTGCTTTGTTCACCAGAACCCACCTGCTGATTCCAGTGGCCTACTGGTTGCCAAGTGCAAACAGTGGGTAATTGTGTTATCTTTGTGTAAAAGTAGTGAAGTGGGAGGGGTGATATAGCCAAATATGTGCATTCATTTACATACCCCAAAGTATGGCTTTAAGCATAGGCAAGAAAACAAAATTATCAGTTTCTGGGGGGAAGGAGGAAGAGATACAGAGTGACTGGAAGACCAGGATAGGAGGA